GGAGGAGGCAGCCTTTGGAGAACTCAGTGCCTGAGTGGAGTGAGGGGAAGCTTATTAAGAAGACCAAGGCCAGCCCTGACCCGTGTGGCCAAGTTAGGTGTTGTCCTGCAAAGCGAAAGCTCGCTGGTTCGATTCCCAATCAGGGCACATGCCTGGATTGCAGGTTTGGTTCCTGGCTGGGGCACATGCATCCTACCAGAGAGGCAACTGATCAATGTTTCTCTCTCCCTCCCCTCCCTTCTCTCTAGAAATAAATAAAATCTTTTTTAAAAAATAGAAGATGATGACCTAGACGAGTTAGCCAGGAGAGCCCATAGCAGGGGGCACCCTGTTTGCTTGCAATGCAAAGTTAAGCTCACCTGCATTCTGGAACTGGTTCCTGGTCAGGGGCTGGAAGCATAAAGGATCACCCAATTTAGACAGTCACGGGTTCGATACCCAACTGTCCTCCTGACTGCTGGGGCCTATTCTCTGTTCCTCGGCTCCTGCCTCACAGAAAAAAATCTCTCTCCGTCTTTACCTTTTAGTTTAATCCTATCTCTTGGTTTTCAGGGTGTGTTCCATTTTTGCTTTGTTTATTATCTATATGCAATGTTTCTCTCTTTCTCGGAAGTTTTAGTCTGCAGCAGGCTCACTTCTCTGTATCCATTCCTCTTTCCCTCTCAGTTACTCACCTCCTCCCCACACTCTTTTTTTTCTGGCCAAGGAGAGCTTCTTGAAAGGGTACTTTGCACTTACTAACACCTTCACATTCCCACCTGAGAAAAATATAAAATGATTTCTAATCCTGTATCCCAGGACTGTACCTAAACTGTTTTTACCACAATCGCCACCAGACTTCTGATTGCTGAAACCTGTGGCTTCTCGGGAGTCCTTCTGGATTACTCCTGTCTCCTTTAAATCTTAACATTTTTCCAAGATACTTTTTTGACTTCCCTCTCACCCACTGACCACTTTCTCTATCTCCTTCTCCCTGTACCCTGAGTGTAGAAGATCCCAAGATTCTGTTATATTTCTGTTCTCTGTGTTTCCAGTATGTGTTCTTTTTCTGTGCTTCGGCTATAGCTTGTGTGCCCACAATTCCCAGGTCTGCATTCACACTGGTCCTGACCTCTTGCTCCTGAACTAAAAGCCTGTATTTCTAACTCATTCAGGCATCTTCTGGATATCTTGTGAGTCCCTCAAGTTCTGCCCAGTCAGAGCTGGGCCATCTTTTTCTCACATTCAGTAAAATTTGACACTTTCCTTTTCCTCATCACTTACATTGTCATTTGGTTCCACGGGTTGTGACTCTAAAAGGTCTTGCTGGCGTAGCCCTATTAGATCCTTCCATTTCCACTGCTCCTGCTTAGGCTCTCAAAATGCTTTTTCAAGACCAGTAGATGGTTAATAGAGGAGGTTTGGGACTCAGACTAACTGGACTCCATTTTTTTCCCTTAATAGTTGTGTGCCTTGGGTAAGTTATTTAACTTCTTCGTGACTCAGTTTCCTCATCTGTTAAATGGGGTTAGTACTTTGAATTACTTCTAAACAAAATGTTATTTGCAATGATTGGCACATCATAGCCACTCAAAAATGTTATTTTTTTTCACTCAGTACTCTCCTTTCTTCCCCTATCACTGAGCTACAGCTCAGTGCCTTTCATTTATCTTTCCTCTCCAATATACATTCAGCAATCACACCAGTTAACTTTTTAAATCACAGATCTAGTTATGACAGTCTTTGGTTTAAAAAAAAACACAACTCTACAAATTTTCATTGTCCATATGGCAAAGACCATCTCCTTAGTATGGCATTTATGACTTTTTAGAAATCTAATCCCGAGCTATTTTCCAGCTTACAAATTCTCCACTCATTATATAACTTATGTACTTAAAGTACCACACACTGTCAAGCCTTGGTTTATTAGATGTATTTATAACATATTAGTATTATAATATTAGGTATATATGCATCTAATATACATACAAAATATCTATTAGGTGCATATGTATCTAATATAAATATATAGGTATACCTCCCATAATATATATGAGGCTACCATATTATAAGGAAGATGATCTAGCCTCCTAGAGATGAGAGGTCAGGTGAAGGAGAAAGGAAGCGCTTCATCTGAGCCGACACCAAGTGCTGGGCATGTGGGAGAAGAGGGCCTGTGGGTCATGCAGCTATTCCAGCCATCGTCTGACTGCTCATGAGCCCCAGAGGGACCAGCAGATGAACCTCCCAGCCAACCCACAAAACCATGAGAAATAATCAATCATTGTTGTAGTAAGCTATTAGATTTAGGGTGGTTTTGTAATGGGGCACAGCCTGGACCCCTCCAAAAGGTATTTGTAATGGGGTCCAGAGATTGGGGTGTCCAAGAAAAACATATTCTCCCCACCCCAGGGCAGACCGCCATGGGGGATGGGAGCCTTGAGCAGGGCCATTGAGAGTAATTTTGCCTGTCAATAACAGGATAACTTCATTCCTCACAGGCAAAAAGGGTTATTTTGCATATCAAAAGCTAATCAGGAAGGTTTAAAAGACTTAATGCAGAATGTAACTAGAGAGGAGGAGAGATAGAGGCTGCAGGAGAGAACAAGAGACACAGTCTCTGGAAAACAGTGTGAAGACCACGTGGGAAGAAAGATGGGAGAAAGGACTCTTGCTAGTGGACCTTGAGAAGGTGCCACATGGTTATGGATAAAGAGCTGGAGATCGCGGCGACGCAGCAAATGGTGCTGAGACCCGCGAGAGGCCTGCCTAGCCGAGCCTTGGACTTCAGTTCTTTTTCTTCCGAAGGACGGTACCCCTGACAGGGGAGGAGGCAGGACGGTGTGTGAGCTGGTGAGTGTTTTAAAGGGATTTTGAGGTTTAAAGGTAACATTTAGCCATTATTCAAAAATATAACTTTTAAATAAATAGTTCCTTTTCACCAAACTCTGCCATTCAGAGCCATAATTCCAAGGGCGGCAGGCAAAGGACCTACAACCAAGGGACCTCGGGGAAGGGGGCGTTGTTGTTTCGGTAGTAGCATCTGGGCACCGCCCCGCCATGGGTCCATTTTTCAGTAACAGTTTGTTACACAGCAATAGGTACCTGATACATAGGCCATGCCATGATATTTAGACTTTACTCAAATACTGTAAGGAGCAACCTGATTAGTCTCGGGTTTTAGAAAGATTACCTTGACAGCAGCTTGTGGAATGGTCTGCAGTGGGGGCAGGGTGGAGATGGAAGGACTTAGAACTCTATTGCATTAATGGAGCTAAGAAATAATGTAAATTCAAACTGAGACGGTGGGACAGGGCAGGTAGAGAACAGACATCACAGAGCTACAATCAACAGTGAACATAGGTTATAGAGTGTGAAAAAGAAAAGTGAATTAAGAATTACTCAAAGGTTTCCAGTCTAGGTAAATGAGTGGATGATAGTTCTATTTTCTAAGAGAGGGACCAGTGGAGAAAAAGAAAGTCTCCTGTAACTTGCACAACATCCAAATGTGTTGGGAAACGCCCTGTCTGGTTTCAGGAACTGTAACCTCCGCTGACAGGCGAGAGGGTCTCAAGGCTGGAAATAATCAGGGAGGCCTTGAGGAAACAGGCCACTGAGGAGATGAAACCTGTCCCCCCTGCCCCCCACCCCCCACATCGCCCTGCTTTATTTACCCTGTGATGGTTGGTGATCCCAATGACGGGTAAGTTTTTCTCATGAGGAGAAAATGACCTAAGACAGACATTGGCTGGTATGGGCAGCAGACATGGCCTTGGGGGACATGGAGAAAGGGCACAAAGGCCCACAACCCTCGGCTTAGACAGGGCCAGAGTCCTCATTCTATCTGAAAGAAGTTTCCTTATCTCTGGGTGGCTCTGCCCCACCTGCCTGGCTCAGGCTTGAAACTATACTAAAGGCAGGTACAGCCCTAAATTGGATCGGGTGGTTCCCAGGAACAATCAGGCCTAGAATTAAGTACCTTGAAGCATGCTTTGTTCTTCCCTCAAAAGCGATGAAAATCAGCTCAGACTGGGAAGGAGATTTACATTATTCAAAGACTCTGACCTAAGGCAGATCTCGTGTTCTTTCCGTTGTTATCTATGATCTCTGTCTGTTTTGGGTAAACATAGACTTTTGACATTGATTTGTGAGCTTTGCTGTATGCCCCTGTGCATACAGTTCTCAATAAAAGCCTTTGGACAAGGGGTTTCCAGGCCTTCTCCCCGCTAGAGGGAAGAGCCATATGCCCACTCCTGCCAGAGAGAGGTGTTTGCTAAGACTCGTGTTTATTCCCCCCACCCGTGCCAACCCCGGGGACAGACTCTGTGGGACTCAGAGCCCCGCTCCCTCCTCAGCTGGCTCTGGACAGTAGCCCTCAGATCCAGGAGCTCCTGTGCCCCGCGCTCCCCTGCAGTGCGTCGCCCCCCAACGACAGAAGTGGAGATGCACAGCAAGGTGATGTAAATACTCGTTGTTTGGTGAACAAATTACCATGATTAATATGGGTGGGTACTGAGGTGTTCTAGTCCAAGGAGCCATTACTATATGTCATAACTTGATTTCTAAGTCAAATAAAGTTTTAATGGTAGGAACTCATTTTATTCGTACTTCATCAGAATCGAAAAGAAAAAGAAAGATATTTGGTGCAGTCCAAAATACTGACAAACTTGAACCTTAAAGTTGTTTACCTTATGTTAATCAATCTGTACTTTGCGGGGAACACCACTAGTATACAATGATCCTACCTAAAGAGGCTTTCTTAGTGTATCCAGGGGGTAAGTTCTCTGGAAACAACTTCTATGATAGAATTTCTCTGTCTCTGTCTCTGCTTGCAGATTCTTTACAAGCCTTCTGTCCTATAGAGAAAGATGGAGCTTCCCTAACTACATGGTGGAAAGAAATCTCCATGTTGTATATTTTTCAAGTAAGCACAATCTATGATTTATTAATGTAATACTACATAATGTAAAACTACAAAGGCTACAAACAATTTTAATAGGTACATGTAAATATTGGCTTACCTTTGGAATTGATTAAAATAGCAAGTAAATGGCTGGGAACCAATCTCATCTTTCCAGTACTGTTGCCAATTCATGACACTTTCCAAGTTCTTCTGATTTTCTCTTTTACAGGGAGGAATATAGGAGCACTAACAAAACAGAACAACAAAAAGTAAAGCTATTATTCTATAGAATATGGAAGTATAGTCCATTTTTTACAGGGAGATGGCATTATGCAGATAGTAAATTTCTTTCTGACTACAAAACTTCTAATATAACCAAATTTGTTTTCTTGAGGAGACTTTAAATATTTTTTATTGACATGCAATTCACATCATAAAATGCATCCTTTTATTTTTTATTTTTTATTATATTTTATTCATTATGTTACTACAGTTGTCCTAATTTTTCCCCCTTTGCACTCTCTCCCCAGCAACACCCACTCCCTCAGGCAATCCCCACACCATTGTTCATGTGCATGGGTCATGTGTAGAAATAAGTTTTTGGTTACTCCACTTCCTATACTGTACTTAACATCCCCATGGCTATCCTGTAACTACCTATTTGTACTATTTAATCCCCTCACCTCTTCACCCACCCTCCACACTCTGCTCCTCTCTGGCAACCATCAAAACACTCTCTGTATCCATGATTCTGTCTCTGTTTGCTTATTTTGTTCTTTAGATTCAGTTGTTGATAGACATGTATTTATTGCCATTTTATTGTTCATAGTTTTGACTTTCTTTTTCTTAAATAAGTCCCTTTAACATTTTATGTAATAATGCTTTGGTAACGATGAACCCCTTTAGTTTTTTCTTGTCTTGGAAGCTCTTTATCTGCCCTTCATTTCTAAATGATAGCTTTGCTGGGCAGGACAATTTTGGCTGTAGGTCCTTGCTTTTCATGACTTTGAATTTCTTGCAAATCCCTTCTAACTTGCAGAGTTTCTTTTGAGAAATCAGCTGACAGTCTCATGGAAACTCCCCTGTAGATAACTAACTTCTATTTTCTTGCTGCTTTTAAGATTCTCTCTTTATTTTTAACCTCTGGTATTTTGATTATGATGTGTCTTGGAGTGGGCCTCTTTGCATCCATCTTGTTTGGGACTCTCTGAACTTCCTGGACTTGCATGTCTTTTTCCTTCATAAAATTAGGGAAGTTTTCTTTCATTAGTTTTTCAGATAGATTTCCAATTTCTTGCTCTTTCTATTCTCCTTCTGGAACCCCTATGATGCAAATGTTGGAACACTTGTAGTTGTTCCAGAGACTACTTACACTATCCTTAATTTTTTTGGATTCTTTTTTCTTCTTGTTTTGATTGGTTGTTTTTGCTTCCTTGTGTTCCAAAGAATTGTTTTGATTCTCGGTTTCATCCACTCTACTGTTGATTCCCTTAGTATTATTCTTCATTTCACTTCGTGTGTCCTGGATCTTTTTGTGCTGTTGGGGTCCTCACTAAGTTCCTTGAGCATACCTTTAACCAGTTTTGAACTCCGCATCTGATAAGATTGTTTATCTCCATTTTATTTAGTTCTTTTCTTGGAGTTTTGATATCTTCTTTCATTTGGGCCACATTTATTTTTCTTCTCATTGTGGCAGCCTCCCTGTGTTTGTTTCTACATAGTAGGTAAAATTGCTATGACTTCCTGTCTTGGTAGCATAGCTTATAGTAGGTGTTCTCTAGGGTTCAGTGGCACAGCCTCCCCTAGCACCTAAGCTGGGTACTCTAGGTGTGCCCTCCATGTGGGTTGAGTACATCTTCCCCTTGTAGTCGAGCCCTGATTGCTGTTGGCAGGTCAGTAGGAGGGATTTACCAAGGCCAGTCAAGCAGCAAGGACTGGCTGTGACCACTGACCACCAACCTCTGCCCTCCATGGAGGATAAGCTGTGCAGGTGCAGGGTGGTGGTGCTCTGATGTGGCCTGTAGCTGTCGACTGGATGCACTAGCCCTTGGGTTTACCAGATGATGCAGGCCAAGGTCAGCCCCCACCTACGTTCTGCCTGGGGCCACCCTGCATAAACTATAAAGCAATCTGAGATGGCTGCTACTTGTGCTGGGCTTGGAGGGCCTCAGGTGAAGCCAAGCTGTGAATCTAGGCTGGCTGCTCCTGGTGCTGGGCCTGAGGCCACTTAACAAGAGGCATGGGGGCTAGGGGCTCACTGATGCCAGCTGTTGCTTGTTTGAGAGTATTTAGGAAGTTGTAAAACATAGTCAAGACCAGCCATTCATATGGAAAAGTCACAGTTTACAGTTTGGGTGGGCCCGTAAGTTGGGTGGGATGGAGTCTCCGGGGCTCTCCACTGTGAAGCAGAAAATGTTAACTAAGTTGATAAGAGTCTCAGATATGGCACCTGCCTGCCAGCTCTGTGGCTGTGTTTGGGGAGGGCTCAAGAAAGGGACAATGGCCTCTGCCCGCCTTTCTTTCTGGGAGAAAGTTGTCCACCAGCTCCTGCCTTGATGCCCAGGCACTTCAGGTCTCCCTGTTTGCCACTGGTGCCTTTCAAGCTGCTACCCCAGTGCTGGAGCTCAGAGAGAGTGAGTCTGAGTACGTAGTTTGCGTGTGGGTTCTTTAAGGGGAACTATTTGGGACTCCAGAAGTGTCTTCCACCAACTTAGTCCCTGCTGGCCTTTGCAGCCAGAAGTTATGGGGACTAATGTTCCTGGCACTGGAAGCCTGGTCTGCGGGGCCTGTTGTGGGGCTGGGACTCTTCACTCCTGAGATATTCCTCCCAAATATTTATCCACTACCAGTGGATGTGGGACCAGTCTGTTCCGTGCCTGCACCACTCCTACCAGCCTGGGTGGATGTGGTGTCTTTAATTCCGTAGTTGTCAGACTTCCATTCAATGGCATTGCTAATGGTTCTGAGTCCCAAATTTAAATAGCTAAACTATACTAAGTCCTCACTTAATATCATCAATAGGTTCTTGGAATCCAACCAAAACACATATAACAAAACTAACTTTACCATAGGTTAATTGATATAAGCAAGAGTTAAGTCCCTGCAGTATCTCAACACATTATAATGAAACAACATTGAGTGAAATGACATTATTTGAGAACCTGCTACACATTTCAAATGTCCAATTTGGCACAATTACAGAAAATATTCCAAAAACAAAAATACAGGGGGAAAAACCCCTACAGTCCTTACAGTATAAAGATATATGATAAGCAACTATTTACAATATAATAGCAAACTAAAAACAAACTTTCTCCTTTGAGAGCCTGCCAATCAACAAAGGGAAGCAAAAAGAAAAAGTTAATTTTATCTCTAATTTCTTTCTATGGACATTAATACTTTTCTCTTCCCTCTTGAACCAATCAAGCATGTACTCTCATCAGATACTGCTTTCAACAGTTGAAACTCTGATTTTCGTTTTTTACATTTTCTTGGACAACAAAATCAGCAGAAAAGTTCCTCTCAAGTACATAATCAGTGCATTTTGCTAACCCAATGCTTTTTTTCTACCATGCCTCCGACAAAGTAGTTCACTCTGAAGGGATTCTATTACTCTAAGCAGTATAGATCAGCAGAATTGGAAAATTACTCTCAACTTCAGATGTTAAAATTAGCCCTTAGCATTCTTATCCATTTTCTCCAATTCAGTCTTTTCTAATGATGATGATCACGATGAAGGCAATGCCTGCTTACGGTTACTGAGTGGTTACAATGTGCCAGACACTGTAATAAATGCTTAACAGGCTTTAACTCACGTACTTCTTACAACAATCCTATAGTGGTCTCCGTTTTACAGATGAGGATATTGAGATTTCTGTCAGCTCTATAACTGGAATTAGATTCTGGTGATTTTTACCATATTCTATTCTCAGATGTTTTACCAAGGTTTCTGATATTAAGGAGCAAAAAAAAAAAAAAAAAAAATCTTTTAGCCTTATAATTTGAGTCATATTATTTTAAAGCACACTGTATCAAAATCTTCCTGTTACCTTGTGGTAAAATACAAACGTTTTAGCATGATGTACAAAGCTCATCATGAGCTGATCCCTGCCTGTTCTTGGCCTCACTTAAGCCTGGGATGCAGCCGCATAGAAGCTCTTGCTTCCCAAATCTGCCACACGCTGTCACAGCTCCCTGTTGGGCAGGGGCGGTCCTCTCTCCTTTTAATGCCTTTTCCTTAGTCCCATTCTTCCAGGGTGCAGTTCTGATGTTACCCTTTTGGGAGAGCCTTCTTTTTCTTACTACACTGTGAAGCCCTGCCTCGCTGGTGTGGCCACAGGGGCCGTACCCCACACCATCACAGCTACCGCCACACAGTATCACACTTGTCTGGCTGGCTACTTGGAACAAGCGCTAGTATTTTCTCTTTTCTCTATCTTCACACTTAGAACTATGCCTGGTAACAGTGAAGTTTCAAAATGTTGGTAAAATTAATAACAACACACTTAATGACCCAGAAATTGCACTTTGGCGTATTTATCCAAAGAAAACAAAAACACTAATTGAAAAAATATAGGCATCCCTATGTTCACTGCTGCATTATTTATAATAGCCAAGATATGGAAGCAACTTAGACGTCCATGCATAGATGAATGGATAAAGAAGATGTGATACACACACACATACACACAAATATATACATATATGTACACATATATACATGTGCATATATGTACTCATATATATATTATAGATATACTTACACAAAGTAGAATAGGATGTGGCAATAAAAAATGAAATCTTGACATTTGCAACAACATGGATGGATCTAGAGGGTATTATTCTAAGTGAAATAAGTAAGGCAGGGAAAGACTGTATGGTCTCATTTATATGTGGAATCTCTAAAAACAAAATATGAACAAACAAAACAAATCAAAACAAAAACTCATGGAAACAAAGATCAAAGGGATGATTCCCAGAAAGGGGGTGGGAAGAAGGGTAAAAAAGGTGAAGGGGGCTCCCGTCAGTGTTGTGGTAAGCTTGCGCGGTGATAGATGATTACTGGGATTAGTGGGGCGATCGCAGTTAGGGTGCAAAAATGCTGAATCACTGCATTGCACACCTGAAACTATTACAACTAATGTATTGTGCTATACTAAAACAAATAACACCCCTAGGTACATTTTTTTTCAAGATCATAAGGCCTTCACAGTTATTAAACATTTTTTAAAATAAACAATATAAAG